CATTATTTACGTGATCTTTTTATCCCAAACCCTACTAATATCATCTATTTTGATAAGAATATTGTAGGGCTTCTTACTTGAAAGTGATCTTCAGCAGCCTTGCCACCCATGTTAAGAACATTCAGAGAACTGGCACGCTTCATGCTGCAACCAGGACAGTGAACATGCAAGGATAAACCCATCAGAACAGCTGAACACTAACAGCACTAAAAACACAAGTATAACAACGACCAATGCACAGTTAAGGGAGTTTTACCAAAGCCCCCAAAGTGATCTGAGGAATACCCTTTAAGATAATTATATGATTAATATATTATATTCAGTTCTAAATTACATATGAAATCAATTACAAGCCCCTCAGAGCTTAAACACTTTAGGCAGTGGATGTAATGGCAATTCAAAATGAAATCTCAACTTCTTAAAGCACATCAAATTAATACACTCACTTAGCACTAATTTTTAATTACCTAATCCTCATTTTCATATTTACACAGCTTGTTATAAAAGCAAAACATTCTGATAGTTCAGGAGAAAATGGTGAAATTAATAGATTGTCACATAGGCAGCATTTAACTTGGAAAGCTAAACCAAACATGCGTTGAGTACTTTCTGCCTTGTCGATATCGATGTTCAGAACCTATTATTTCAAAATATGTTTTAAAATATTCTATTTTGTGCATTTCAAAGTGAAGGGAAATGAGATGCAGCTGCTGCTTTCTCAGCTCATGCTTTAACAATGCTTTGAGCAGCAGTAGCAGCCCTACAATGCTGTACTGAAAGCAACAGGTGAGGTAAAAACAGCAAATGGAATCACCTACATACAAGCTACGTACAGTCTAAATATCACTGCACTGACAGCAGTGTCTGCTACCATTTGAGCTGACAACTCATCATTTGCCCAGGGAGGTTGTGGATGCCCCATCCCTGGAGGTGTTCAAGGCCAGGCTGGACGGGGTTTTGAGCAACCTGGTCTAGTGCCTATAGCAGGGAGTTGGAACTAGATGATCGTAAAGATCCTTTCCAACCCAAATGTAGATTGTATCCACATTTCTCAACATGTACAGCATTTAACAAAAGTATTTTAGAGTGCGTGTAACAAAATTCCAGGTTAGTCTCAAGCTTCAAGTGATGTCCTCTATCCCAAAGAGGATGTGCGCTACTCCGAATGTCCCAGGTTTGCCTTGATTTCTGACCAGCTCTTTAAAGAGTTAAAAGCTCCTAAATGAGAGCTTTGAATACATGCTAGTGAACTCCTGATGACAGAACGAAGCAGCTGTCCTGCAGCACTACCTACATCTTTACTATGGGCCTGGCAAAGCTTCCCAGGCCTTCCACTCACATGGAGAGGTTTATCCATACACTTCACATCAGACTTCACCAGATTGTCCTTCTACTGAAAACTACCAGCAGTCAAAGTGAAGCACGTGGTTTAAATGCTTTCATAAAGCAAAGGCTAAGCAGAATCATGAATCAAAACACTGACGAACACAGGCAACAGATGCTGCACAACACAGACCTACTGGGTTTTTTCCTAGCATTTCAAAAGCTAGAGCACACACAGTTTAAAATATTCAACATGAGTGTTAGCAACAACAAAGCAAAGACTCATGCATGGTGGACGCCTTTCCTTCCCTCAAGGAAACATGTACAACAGAGTTATCAATGGAAGTCAAAGCCAGTTAATCGATAAAACGCAAACATCACATAAAGTCCTTGTGAAAAAGAGGGCAAAGGTTTATGGAAAGCTTGCCAGGGAAAGAAATAGTTCCACTGGTAAGTTTTTAGGCCCTTGCTGAAGAATATATCAATAAAAACAAAAAGCCCACTTTGTTTTTAATCTCTCATGAGATACTTTGGTTTTGTTTTTAGAAATCAAGCACTTTACGAAGAATTAACCTTTCATTAAGAAATACATTAGAACTTCAGTTGGCAAATGCTTTCTCTCCATGTTAGAAATGTGATTGTCTGATTAGCAAGGATGCAGTTATCTTTCTGCTGAACATTTAACAGCAGCAAAAGCTTTTCTTTTAACTTACAAAATCTTCACTGTTTTGCTCTATGACCTAAATCTTGTAAGTGGGGGGAAAAAAATAAATGAAACCTAACACCACAAAAACAAGGTTAAATTACTGCAGAATTGAATTCTGAAATATGATAAAAACTGGTACTGTGCTTCTGATGCTGTATCTTTCAATGAACAGTTCCTAAGAAATTTGTTCTTTGTTTTCTCTCTTTAAATAAAGCAGAAGGCTTTTTGATAGTAATTTCTCTGGTACATTTTCCACTTTATTTTCTTTCTGTATCAAGCAGCAAGATGAAAAGTCTTTCTTCTGCAGTGTGATACTCACGTATTACTCTGCGAGCATTTCTCTTTCAGAATCAGACTAGCTGTACCAATTTACTGTTTACAGAAGCACAGTACAAGCAGCAGGTGTAAAATAAACTTCAGATTGAAGTTGAGGGACATGGTTTAGTGGGAAGTATCAGTGATAGGAGGATGGTTGGACTGGATGACCTTGGAGGTCTCTTCCAACCTCAGAGACCGTATAATTCTAATCTTCAGAGACACTAGTAGCAAATGCAGAGGTAATGCTGGTAAAGAGGGAGGTACCTACAACTTTTACCTAGAGTGGTTGACTTGGCAAAATTGACTTCTATGTATGCAATGTCAGAAAAATTTAACGTATAATGAGAAGTCAAAATGGTTGGCATTACAAAAACTTAATACCCCTTTAACTGAACTCTGAAAAAGTGTATTTAACTCAACTTCAAGGTTTTTCAGAGAACAAAATTCAAATATCTTCTTACATTATCAATATGTACATCTACACTTAATGACCTACAATATTGGTGTTTAATGCCAGGCACCTCAGCTAATTTTAACAATATATGCAAGTATAAATTAAGATTTAAAAGGTTCTGTATCTTACATGGACACAAATTCTAATATTTGTCAACACACTCAACATGCATACCTATATAAAAGTCTGCCCACGCAACACAATGATTACAAGTTTTGAGAACACACTGTTCTTTGAGTACTACACTGACATCTCAAAGCAAGAATATTTTGTCAGAAACAAAAAGTAAGGAATGTATTGCCATCTTTCCAAATTCATTTCCTATCATTATCTCTATCTAAGGTGATAGAGAGCCTAAAGTATAAAATTAGCATTAAAGTGGGTAGATCACTAGACAAATATGTTACAGAAGTGCAGACAATAAAAAAGAACATTTTTTTCAGGATGCTGCAAAACCAAATGTCTTCAGCTACGCTCAACTCTAATTTTCTATACCAATCAAGAGGTAGTCACTTCAATTGCCAACAGTTAGCTCTCTAATACAACAAACAAAGAATAAAACTTTATCTTTAAGAAACAACAAAGAAAAAGAAAAATGGGAAATTATGTCTGAATTTATATTCATACTGATAGAGGATATGCCTGCACTATGATGTTCGAACTTTAGGTCGAAATAAGAAATGCCAAGCAAGGTATAGAAATGCTAATACTTAGATCAAGGAAATTTCTTTTATTCTTTTTCATCTTGCTTCTCCACATTGTCCCTCACTCATTTCACATTTGTATACTCCTCTCTCCTAATTATGTGTTTTTCACAGTTTATTCCCAACCAATCATCACAGAGCCAGTTCTCAATTATGCATCAGTAAATACAAAGGGAGTTTGGGCCTCGGAATTTGATTCAGTGCCTTCAAAGTACGTCTGTGACAGCTCAGAGTAAATGTCAACTACAAATTTGGAAAATCAGATCAGGCTGAAGTTCAAGCAGGTCTGTCAGGAAGAGAATTAAACAGACTGATGAATAATCAGTCTGTTTGTGTGCATATGTGCACACAGCAGCTGTACACAATGTTTTAAAGCCACATAAAAACAGTAAGGCAGAACTTCATTGAAGGCACTAACAAAACACACTGAGAATCTGCCTGCAGATCACTGTCTTGGACAAATCATCACCCGCTTTATTTCTCACAGATGCAGTCACTCTACCAGAAGTGAATCCAAGCTCTCTAATTTAACTGGTTTAGAAAGTTAAAATTCACTTTGTCAAAGAATTTTCTATCAATTTTTTTATTCTAATTCATTAGAATTAACTATTCAAAAAGTTTCAGTTTTCCAGAGCAAGGGAAAGCTGAAAGCATTTATTTATTAAGAGAACAGGAGTGCTACATTTTTAACATTTCAACATATCTGCAGCAGCCAGAAAATCATGAATACTTGTTATGTGTTTACTAGAAACATACACAAATCCAAATCCTTGATCACACTGTGACAAAGAACATTTTAAATGTCTTAATGCCACTGACTTCACTTTGGTTAAAATGCTCATAGGATGCACCAATAGGTTCAAGTTTTTCCAACATTCTCTTCTGCTCTCTGGGATGTGTATTCCCAAAAATACAAACTGAGAAGGGCTCAAGTCAGTAATTCACTTATGCACAGAGCAATGTATAAATATATTAAGGTGCAGGAATGATAGCTTATTGTATTCTAGCTTTACCATCCTTTATTAACTTTATCACTGCGTGAAAAGGAGAACTTAGTGGTTTGCTAACACTGACCAATAATTCTAAGAGGCCTTTTTGTTCAAGTGGTTAAAGCATCAAAAAGGAAAAAGACAGTTAAGAACTGAGTTACCTCTCAAAAGCAAATATAATTCCTCAGATGTAAAAGAACTTCAATTATACGCCTAAGAAAAGATTTTCTACTTCATCTTTCTTTATGATATTCTATGTGACATGCAGTTAGCTAAGCAGAGAAGAAAATACTGACCTAGGTACTGCACTAGGCTACAGCAGGGGCACAGAACAAGGGCACACCAGCACAGCTAAGAAGAGATAATTACCCTGGATTCTTGGGTTCACTGTCTCGTGAACTTCCTCCCTTCAGCTTTCTAACCAGCTTCTCGCTGCTGCGTCTAATGGAAGCTCGAAGTTTGCTAAAGGAACCACTGCGTTTTAAAGATCCAGTGCCATCCTGAAAGAAATTGAACAGATGTGAAACTGCGAGAGTCCGTAGCCCTCCCCAAACCTGGTTCCAAAACGTTTACTGTTATGAATACTGACGTGGTAAAATTACCCAAGTACAGAATACTACAGAGCTACAACTTTACCAATCCAAATTGGTTTCTCCCATCAAATCGTATCAAAGATTTCTGAAATGTGAAGACATGCTCAAGTGATGATTCATAACAATTAGAAGAAAGCCACCACAATATGTCAAACCTTTCACCGTCACCATGGTACCATCTCATATCAGCACATTGTGTTCAACGGATACAAGCCCCAAGCAAAAGCATTCCAGTCTAGGAAAAAACTGCTTTATTTTTTTTTTCTAGATACCTCCGTTAGTTGCAAACATGTTCAATTAATCCTAACATCACTGATCAGAGACATTGATGGTTAAATTCACGTGCATCATTTTAACTCTCACCAAGGCAAATGTAAAACACGTCAAAAATGTGTTTTCTATACCTTGCATTCATGTTTTACACTGCTGTGCTCATCCAAAGCTTTCAGACGAGCATAATTTTATTTTTTAATATTTTACTCTTAAAAAAAAAAACAAAACAGTTTAGTGAGATTAGAAGTGACCACTGCCTACTTCAGAAATACCCTATGTGGTTATAAGGAAGAGTTGTAGAAGAAAGCAAAGTGCTATTAAGCAGACAAAGACAGACACCTGAGTTGGAGTGAGTTTATTAGAAGTTAGAAAGACAAATACACAAATCACTGAACACCAAGATTAGTAGAGAAAAGCATATTTGCCAAAATTTCACACGAAGACTAAACAGCAATGCTACTTTAGAATAATCGTAAGTGAAGACATCCAGAGTTCCATATTGATGTTAACCATGTAATAGGTCTCTAAATACATTTTAAAGCACTTGGAGAACATGCCTTACTTTTAAGGGTTTGGGTTTGGTTTTTTTTTTCCTCCTGTAAAGATCACCATCATGCCATTTTAATAATATCTTGTGTGATACTTTTAACTACCTTTTTTCCCATAGTGAACAGCTACTTATAAAGTTCATTGTTAATTCTTTACTAATGTATTACACAGCAAATGGTTGTAATAACATTTTGTATGACTAGATACATATTTGGCAAAGCTACACGTGTACAGAAATAGAAACCAAAAAGACACCAGCACTGAAGGAATGGCCAGTTTACAGGGAAGTGTAGCTGACAAGAATCTTAGGGGGTTTGCTAAAACACAGCAGTCAGTACTGAAGAGAGAAGTTAAAGCTTGAAGATGGTGCACGCCCTTCATGCAGGAGACAGTATAAGAATCACACAAGGCATCTAGGCCTGTCAGAAACGGAGAGAGAAAAACTGAATGAAACTGTTGGGAAAAATTCAACAGTTTTCAATTTTGTACAGTTATGCTTGCAGTATTTCTAGGTCACACTCAAAACACTTTTTTTTTTTTTTTAGAGTAAGTTCTGAGTCTGCACTGCAGTACAGAGTGCAGGCCCTTGCAATTAACAGAACATAGATGTGCATTTACACTTCAGCCTACATCACTGATATGCAACATGTAAATGAGCATGAATGACTCCATGCTTTAAAATAGAATTGGTACAAAGTACAAACCATCTTTAAGAAGGGACAGCTTTAAACATTACGCTTTGTAAACAAATAAAGGATCTTTTTAGCTGATAAACACAAAAAAAAGGGGGAAATAAAACCAGAAAGTGACAGAGCAAGGTGCATTCATTTCAGCTTTAACTTCTGTCAGGAATTTTCCTCAAACAGAACTGAAAGAAGAAAGGTTTTTCCCCGACCTCCAGACAAAACTCTGTTTACTTTTTAAGAAATTAGAATCTACCTGAGCTGTCAATTCAGTCTCGCAGATGGAAACTGGAACACAGTAATTACAGTGACCCCTGGAAATGGCAAGATACCTCACTACAAAGTGATCAGAAGATCCCAATTTAAGCAAAGAGTACATGTGGTTCATAGTAAATTGCATTTCTTTTTCGGTGAAGTATTGGATCAATGGAAGAGGTAATTATTCTTATGTCCTTCAATTAGTGATTTTGTAGTAGCCGTAATGAACCAGATAACAAAGGCAAGACACATTTGGTTGCTACAGGGCCTAACTTTTATTATTCTAACTCACGCATGCAGAAGAAGCAAGCTTTTGGGTTCAAAAATCTTCAAATCTGAAATAAAAACATCAAGCTCTGAAGTTAAACATTTTCCGTAGGACTAACAAAACACCTTCAAATCAGGAGTTTAGGCTAAAAAATTCCTAAATCTAGCGTAAGCAAAACCAACAAAAATCCACAGAGATATCAATTTCTGTGGCAAAAGTTTTATTGCCAATTTTTGCTACCATTGCTTTCAGCTAATACCTGGTAGCAAAATTTACTGCTTTTATTTCACACCTTGAAGCAGACTTATATTCTCAAAAGCCTGTCTTTGAAGCTTATAGGTTAGATTAATAAAAGATATTTCCTCCCCCTGAAAACATGACTTTAATCTCTTTCATACCATCAAGACTTTGAGCTGCCCTCCAACTGGCAGCCAAATCAGTTGATGAACACTGCAGCCACATGTACTCACTTGCATTTTCTTAAAAGTCATGCAAGAGGGCATGATGTTATTTTCTTCTTAAGAAAGCGACAGGGACAAAAGAAGATGCAAATATACTCAGCGGTAAGAACTGCGAGGTAGAAAAGCAAACCTAAAATGATCTTAAAGGGGAACTCTCCAGAATTCTACTTTCTAATTTAAGACAAAGTAATTAACTGAATTTTTAAGTATCTTCTGTTCACTTGGACTTCGTAAGTAACACGTAAACATGCTCTGCACAACCTTACTTGGCACGTTTGCTTTAGCTATTCATAGCAGATTTATATAAACAGACATTTCAGTTCTTTCTGTATGAATTTGTTACATTACAGCAAAGCATACAGTGCTTACTAGGAATTACATTGCACTGGAACTCACTTAAATACAATATGCTCTTCCAACAGAAAATTTTTATTGAAGTTCGATGCTCTACAGACTCCATCTATTCTTTCTGACAGCCAAGAGCATGAGTCAGCTTGAGCTGAAGAATTTAAATGGAAAAGACAGGCCTTATTTTAAGCTCTCATCTGCCTGATAAAAATATTATAAAATTATACCTTGTGAAACAGAATATTTTGTCTGGAGGAGACACACGAGGGTAAATAAAACTACACCATATATGTACAGGGAAGAACAGCACTGAGGTAGAAACGCTAGCAGGGTAGAGGGAGAGAGAGTTGCCCACTTTATGTAAAACATGTAATATAAGATTTCTTAAGAGAAAAAAACTGTAAAAAAAAATGAAGATCACAATAAAGCAATGCCACTTCAACACGCTAAAAAATGAGAAGTTTGCCTTGAGAGGTCAAAATTTAATTTTTCAGATACAAGATTTTGTCACTGAGTTTCATTCAAATATTGACCTAGAAATACTGTCTGCTGCTTTACCAGAAGGCGCATTCAATCCAAAACCTGCATGCTTGTTTAATTAATGTCAATAACAGAAAAAAGTTTTGTCCATTTAGATCTTATAGTCATGCAAAGTACAGCAGAAATTAAGGGAGGAGTACAGTACACAGTTCTAGCAATGAATGGGCAAAATTAGAGTTAAAAGAAAAAAAAGAGTTATCCAACCTTACTTTGAGTTTATTAATGATGCAGTATTATTCACAAAAGATGCTGATTGACTGTCTTGGCACTGAGAACACCAATGCCAAGAAAACAAGAATGAGATAGAAATCAGAAGACAGAAAGTACGTTCTCCTTAGAAACTAAACCAGAATGTTTCATCAAGGTTTCTTTGGAACTGTAAGGTTTTTAACGTGTGGCTTTAAACAAAGATTGCTACTGTAAGAGAAATGAAACCTCATAAGACTCAGTACTGCAAAGTAGGCTACTTCCCCTCTCACAAAGCAAAAGCACACAAGCACATCACCTTTATAAATCAGCAGAGTATTTTCAGCAGAGCTAAAGTAGGGAGGTAGTTATCACTGCAACAGATAACTATTTAATAGATATCCTATTGCTAACAGTGGGATAAAGCACAGGAGTCTGGTGACAGAAACAAACAAGTTCATAAATCAGATCTATTAACTGGAAGGTTGCACTGGCTTAGAAGAAAACAACAGAATGGTAAAAATATGCACATAAGAATGTATCATACACACAGCTTTACTTTGCGACACTGTGTGTTGCACAGTGAGGCCAATACATGTGAAACAAATAAGAACAAGCTCCAACTCCAATCAAATTTTAGTACTGGAATGCAATATTAATATTTTGGTTAAGAAATGTGAAATTAATGTCAGGCTTTTGTGATGGCACTGTATATTAAGGCAGATTGTGCAACAGCTTGTACAGTTAGGCTATTTCTTTAACAAGTTGTGTAAAGTGGAGATTGGTATTATTTTAATATTAGGCTAATCAATTTACTTTAAGGCCTCTAATACTTAATACATCTCCATAGTAAATGTTTTCTGATTTCAACAAATGCAGTACTTTCAAATAAACATATAAAATAGAGGAAAACACAACATAAACAAGACAAAAATAAAAGCAAAAGTTAATTGCCAGAAAGTTCTACCAGTGAAAAGAAACCACTGAAAAGTAATTAAAAACCAGACCATAACCAGGACACTCAATCAGCATTAAAACATCTCAGTGTTAAATACAACTGCTTGGGATTCTTGAAGAAATTTCAGCATTCAAGACCACAATGGAACGGATACTTTACAATTTCAAAACATTTTTTTACGTTATCTTATGAAAAAGGAGGTGTTATTTATTTCTTAGTCAATTCTGGATAATTACCAAAATAAAGTCAATTAACCATGAACCAATGACAACTCAATTGGCTGGTGAACGGATAGCTGTATTTGTTATGGCGGTCATTTATCTAGGCTATTTTCTTCAACTGTGTACTGTACTTACCCCATTCCATTCTACGCTCATACTCACTTCCTCGCCTCCATCAGGACCACTCTCGTACTTTACCACATCAACATTGAGACTTTCTCTGCTTCGCCTTTTTTCTGTGCTCTCAGGGTCATTGAGCACTTCAGCAACTCTCTGTTTATGAACGTTGTCAAGACCCTGACAATTAGATCAAACAGAGTAAGTTTTAATGATATAGTGTAGCCATCTACAACTTGCACAATAATTGCAGAAACAAATTCATCATCTTTTTGCTTTCAAAGGACAATCAAGATTAACTGTCCCTTACTGCAGCCATCAAACCAGCACAGAGTGGACAGCTAGCCTACTGGGCTGGGCATTCAGCAACTTGGCATTCTTCTCCTCCTTTCCATCATTTGTCAAAGCCTCCTGGTGTTAATGTCACTTACCTGAAACCTTTTGTCCACCAGATTAATATTTAAGAATTTACAGATCATCAACAGTCAATACATTTCTCAGTCTTCCTCCTATCAAATGCTGTAGCGTTCATCTTCCTCTGGAAAGAACATCGCAGGGTTCTGAACAGCTAATCCCTATAACACTGTTTTATTTGTAACACTGACATGTTACACTTCGCATAAGAAATATTCTACACCCCTAACTTTGCAGCATTAGCAACAAATGAAGTAGGGCATCTTCTGGGGCATGAAGTCCAGCACAGCGTGAGAACACTGAAACCATACAGAAATCCCACCCATTCTATTTTTTACACTGTTACTGCAAATTGAACATGCATGAGGGAGAACAAAACCATGAAGAACTGATTCATTTCCACACATGGGAGAAAAAGTATCTCTTTGGTTTTAGCTCAGAAGGAGAAATGCATTAACCCTGTCTGTCCTTTAACAGACCTAAAATAAAAAAGCAGTGTTAAATGCTAATAGGATGATAGCTGTGTTTCCTACTTGTCCAAATCTGGTGCGGTATATAATGACATATTTTAGAGTATAACACTGTAGACAGTACATTCACACCAATGAAAACCTGAAAAAGCTTAGAAAAGAAATAGCAGCAGGCTCAAATGGAAAATTAAGACCAGGAACAGTTTTTCCAAAGGTTTGGACAAGCCAGAAGTGGGCTGATTTAACAGAGACACTAAAAGAGGAGAATTTTTGTCTCAGAGAAGTCTATCCTTAATTCCCAAATAATCAATTCTAGGTCTCACCGCAAAATAAATAAATAAATAAATAAATTGAAGCTTAAAAAATAACTACAAAAGAACTATATACAAGCAAATTTCCAGTCTTACTACTATTATATTATTCTAAATTGCCTTTGCATTCATTAACATTAAAACATTACACAGCACGACAACGGTAACAATAAATTTGCTTTGATTGGTAATAAGATACAACACACATTTATTTTCAAAACATTTCAATGACAAACACACCAAAAATGAACCATGAAATATATATAGCAAACTTTTTTTTTTTACTAAGGATAATTCTCTATTATTTCCCTTCACCTTTGAATTTCCTCTGAAGAACTTTTCTCCCACGTTTGTTCATACATTCCTCTTACCAGTTTCATTGCACTTATCAGTCAAGCACTTGCTAATCTTCCATCAGCTAGTTTTGTTGAAGAGCAAATTTATCTCACCTTGTATCAAAGATCTATTGCTAAACTCACTAGAAGAGCATGAGTTTTATTTCACTTCTCCAGAATTCAGCTTGTGCAATACACCAAACACTGAAGAATATTATTCAAAATGCAACCACAAATGTGTACAAGCAACTGAATAAAAAATAATCAAATAAGGTGTAGTACATTATCTAATATAATTTACTTGAACTAAGAATTTGAGCTTAGAATTTTAGATGGCAGCATAAAAAAAACACTTCTGAAAAATACAAGTCTTATTTACTGTTCCACAAAAACAAAATTAAAATGGAACTATACAAGTTACTTTTTTATTCGTTAAGATTTTCTTTTTTTTTGGTTTTCCATTTTAACACTGACCAACAAGCCTTCTTTGCTTGTCCAGTCTTATGTACTTTTGTAACAGACATTGTGCAACATCCCTCAGAAAGAAAGGAAAAAAAAAACAAAAACCACACTCTCCCAAAAGATTGTGGGAAAAAAAGTTAAGTTTAACAACAGATTAGAGAGCAGAGAGCATTGAAAGAAAGGCAGCAGCATCCCTCAATCTCTATATTCCTCCCATCAGCTTGCAAAACTAACAGAAACAGCAACTGATAAATTTGTAACAGCATTCTCAAAGTTAGAGTCAAGCAGCTGAAATTCAAGGAGGACACCAGGCAACAGACAGCAAATAGCTAAATGTTTGTATGTTCTGAATAGAGAATAGGCACCAAAGTTGAAAATCTGCATGGCCATAATGCAGAGGTAACATATACTTGCCTGCTTACGAGATCTCATTGCTGCCTCTTCTAATGTTTCAGCAGCTTCAAATTTGCCTTGTCGTCTGTAAAGTGCCCCAAGGTTCTTCAATGTAGTTGTTACTGTTGGACTAATAAAAAAATACATATATACACATTATATACACTTCTCTCAGAGAGTGGTGAGGCACTGGAATGGCTGCCCAAGGAGGTGGTGGAGTCGCTGTCCCTGGCAGTGTTGAAGAGGCATCTGGATGAGGAGCTACAAGATATGGTTTAGTGCTTGTGGTAGGAATGGTAGTGGGAGATGGTAGTGGACTAGATGATCCTTTCCAACCTTGTGATTCTATGTTTCTATGATTAGATTCCTCTCAATTCACAAACTAATAAAAAGTGAATTAATACAATATAATCTTTTTGTAGTTACTAAGTCTTGAAATATAGTATAACTTATTATGCATACATGAAAAAACTGTTACGCCCCCTCAAATTGCATTAACATCTCATGCTATCATTAGTCAGCACCCCCAAACCTGAATGTTAGTAACTAGCCTCTGAATCCAGCCATGAGAAAACTGGAATGTTTCTTAGATGCATCTCAAGAGGCAAAAATTTAGCTCAGTTCTAATGTGTCCAACTGTAATTCTGAAGCATCCAGATGATGCGCTTACTCATGCACACTGTGACTGTCACTGTAGCACACATTAGTCTCAAAACAGAACCACAGTACAGTTGGAAGGGAGATCACCTAGTCCAACTCTAAATTAACAATTCCACCAGTTTTTATTTAATAACTACTTTCAGCTTCTGTGCTGAACTTGAACAATGGAAGAAAGAAAAAAACTCCACACATTCCACTAGCAAATCTGACTCCTGAGACATTTTTGATTCAATGATGCAGTGAGAATTAGCTCAGTCATAGTATTGTTGCTTGAAGGTTTGCTCCAATAAGAGCAGAGAAAAAAATTCCTCATGACTTAGAATGAAATTAAAACAAAGCATGCATGAAAAGCAAGTATGATGCAAGCTGAAATTCCTGTTTCTCTTCTTCCAAGATAAGATGCATGCTCTCATTCACACAGATTAACATTCTTCAGGCTTTAGAAACTCAAATTTGGGAGTTGGACTCAATGATCTCTGGAAATCCCTTCCAACCCCTACAATTCTGTGTGATCCTGTGAAATAACATGTAAGCGTAGCAGTTTTAACTTTGCTCTCTTATGCCAGACAGAAACTCAAGGCCCAGGTATTTACAGTCTTTTTCACTCCTGACCTTCTCTACAGGCTTTGCTGGGGCAGGGAGAGCACGCGAGCCAACTGAAAGTATAAAAAGAAAGGTGACCTGCACTAGATCTCATCAGCCTACATTAAAAGCCTCAGGATTGCAAACTGCTGCCATCTGCACTCCTGAAAGCCAGCCTTCAGCTGAGTATCTAATACTGTACTTCTTCTTGCTGTAAGCAAGTTGCTCATTTGTTTTCATTTCAAAACATGCTTTAGTCTGACATTTCTAGATACTGTCTATTGCCACATGATCTGTCCAATAAAGGAAATACTCACCTATCAACTTTGCAAGCTTTGTACCAGCCACCATATTCTCCAAAAGATGTGCCATCTTTTTGCTTTCCCTAAAAAGGGAAGTAGCATTATAGAAAAATAACTCATTTGTAACTAAAATAATAAAAGCTCCAAAAAAGATTTATGACAGTGGCCTTACTTTGCACTCTTCCCTCTCTTCTGCATGCATCCAAATAGGCTTATTTTCATCTAATGAAACAGAAGAAAATATTTTATAGAAGTACAAAGCCACAAAGCATTCACTGCAATATTTTAACCCTTCTGAAATAAGGCTAAGAACCACAGAAAGAAGCACCAGATGAAAGTAACGTTTTTTAATTGTTTTACAGTTCTTTTTTTCTGATCTGAACTTGGGAAGTTACTTCTAAGAAGCTCTGAAGTCAATACATACTGCCATCCATCTATCATGTACCTCGTTATGTGCTAGCAAACATGCATTTGTTTCTTTTACCATAATGATTATTTTGACATCTACTAAGTGGTGCACATGCTACTGTCACAGAATGCAATAAAAACTGTGATTTACAGTTGATGAAATGGATTTAACTTCAGTGTACAATGTAACTTGTACAGTGTAAAATATCCTTAAATTTACAGAGTAAATATCCTTAAATTTACACTGTAAATTTACACAGTAAGTTTAAGAATATTTTCTAATTCTTTGTATGTTAGAGAATGACTCATCAATATATTCAGTGTCCTTAGAAATTTGTTCCAATGACTGGAAAGTGACATTTTCAGCATCTATAAAAATGCCAAAATCAGTTTCTGATGTACATAAAATAAATCACGCCAGAAATATGCTGCAAAGGATATAAACCTAACCAAGGCTCCCTCACTGAAGAAAATTTCATTTTGAATTAAATGTTACTGCTGTATCCACTGAACACCTTTTTATGCTGAATTTTACAATACTTTAATGCATCTGCTATCTCAATTCTCAAATCTGCTTCAAGCAGACAATTCTAATTAGGATAAGATCAACCTCCAACGGATTTTCTTCCCCAACTACCACAAAAATTAAACATACTTTGAAGTCTAAGGACGAAGTTTCTTACCATCTACAGAGCCAAATTCCCGTTCATGAGCACGAGTAAGAATCTCTTTGTACAAAGTTTCCGCTTGCTTAAATTTGCCCTGTTTTAGGTAGCAGGATGCCTAGAAAGAAAACACCCCCAAAAAGACAACAGCACTTTTTTAATTTAGTTTGAGAAGCAGTACAGTAAATACAATACATTCTGAATAATGCACTGAATACATTCAATTCACGAGAAAATCTCACTTTAGATTCACTTATAAGAGCCTTACCAGGTTATTCTTTGTTTTTGCAACATTTGGATCATCTGGTCCCAGCTTAGTTTGGTAAATTTCCAGCGCTCTCTGATAGTAATATTCTACCTCCTCATATTTACCCTGGTTCTGGCATAGTAGAGCCAAGTTATTTAACTGTTTGGCAACATCGGGGTGATCTTTCCCCAGGACCTGGAAAAGAAATATCTCATATTAAATTATTTTCCAGTAATCATACCAGGGTTTAAAAATGTATAAATAGCCCACTGGTATTGATTTGTCAGAAATTTCAACATGAAGATGATGAAAGAGAAGGATATGATAATTACTCAATGATATTACAAATCCAGAAGGCTGTAGAGAAACTTGTAACAGGCATATTTTAAACCATACAATTACATTAAAAGCAGCGTATTATCCAAATAAGCCTGAAGATGAAGACATTCAGTCACATGGACCATGATAAATATGCCCACAGTCCTAGAATAATCAGTTTAAAAAGTTTAAGTTCCCTGTTTAATTCCAGTGCTCTTGCCAAATCAAAGATCTCTCAACAAACAAAAGGGGAAAAAAAAAAAAAAGGTAGAGACTACTGTGATTGGCCTGGCAGATCTGTCCAATCAAAACACAGAACAAATGTAAGGATGTTTAATCCTGCCCCCCCCAAAAGTCTATTCAAAGGTGTTCTGTTTGCATTGTTTTGTTGGGTTGGGGTTTTTTTTTTTTTTTTTGCAATTGTACCTTTTCTCTGATTTCCAGAGCTCGCTTACACAAAGGTTCAGCTTCTTTGTACTTTCCCCGTTTACCATAAAGAACTGCAAGATTATTTAGAGTTGCTGCCACCTGCCAACAGAGAGAAGTATTAATTACACCAATTTGCTGATACAAATAACTATTAAATTAATGTACTTGTTTTCAAATTTTCCTCTTGAATTTTGCAAACAAAGAGATTTCCCAAATGTCATTCATTTACCCCCAAAGTTATATATGCTCAGGCCTGCCTTGCTTCTAAACAAGTGGCATGATGAGAGACACCCCACTGATTTTTAACACTGGGTACAGAAGTTCGATTTATGCCTCATTTAAAAGCAGCAGCAAAACAAATCAGAAGTACACCTTCAATCTGAGTTCACTCAATCAACAGTGATTCGAGTAAGCAAATTAACATTTTTCTTTATAAATTCATTTCCCAGAGAAGATCCATGCAATCTGATCCAAAAAATCAAGTAAGTGCAGGTCATTTGTGGTGAAACAGCATCAAATATAATGCTTGTATTCAAAAGAAAACAAAGAATTTTACAATGTGGCCTCCTACCTGTGCTGTATAGAGATAAGCCAGGTCTTAAAAACTTTCCTGTTGAGTTTAACATTAGAATGAGTTGAAAAAAAAAAAAAAATCATCAAAAAACAAAGCTAAAAATACAGTATTTCTTGTATACAAACCGCTGGATGATCTTTGCCCAAAGTCTTCTCACGGATAGCCAAGGCATCATTCAGGAGATTCGCTGCGTCTTTGTATTTGTTCTGGTCTCTGAAATTTAAGAAGTGATCATTAATACTGAGGATTGAGAAGAGATGTCATAATAATGAAGCTGGCTTCAGTACTGGACTAAAGATGTTACCATAACAGCGGATTAATTAAGAATACATTTAGGAACTGCAAGACAAAAGCATGAAGCTCATAACTAAAGTAGCTAGAGGGCTCAGGACTAGCAGGTTCAATTTTGACTGTGCTGTCTAATTTATATCTCTAAATTACCTGAAAGTGGATAACCAACACATGCTTCTTCACCATACCAAATAAGGAAGGGGCTGGTTTTCAAAAATGCTTTGCTCTCGCAACAAAGGCATAGACAAAAATGCAGCAACTCACTTGAATTTTAGCGTGGGTAGACATACATTTTAATGGACTCTCTTGAGGGTTTTAAAAAACAGGCAATGGAAAACAATAAGACAGCAAAAATGCTAGCCTGAACACTGTCAGGCTACAGCCAAATGTCAACTATTTGTTCAGCTGCCATTTATCTATGTCACTATACAAACCTGTACACCAAAGCAAGTATGTTCAACATAGTGGCAACGTCAGGATGGTCATGGCCTGAAGTCTTCTCCAGATCTTCAAGAGCTTGTTTACAAAGAGGTACAGCAACCTCGTATCTACCTTGGGAAGCGTACTGAATAACAAGATTGTGAAGGGTCCTTAATCTTGCTGGAATTTCATAGCCACCTTGTTGGGCAGCAGCTGCTGCACTGCTATGCTGCTGTTGGACTGGAAGAAACCCACAGGATTTTAATTTGTTTAAAAAGATTGATATAACTTGAAGACATTTAACATTTTAAACTCAGTGACACACAAGAGACTTATTGAATTCTATTTCTTCAATACAAAGCATTAGTATTAGAACAAACACACTTAATTCTTCACATTCTGTCCACGCTTCATAAACAAAGGTACTGCATTACTATTATTTTACAGTTTTACTAGCTCAGGAGGTCTAATTAATAAACAAATGGAGAAAATGTCATACTTCACCTCAGCAAACCATTAACAGTTCTCAAGACTAACACAATTTTACAATCAGAAATACTAAAATTTCCCTATGGAAAGGAACACTAACGCAGACAAGCAAAGCACTGGCAGAACAGGTCAAATTATTCCTCCTTTTTCCATTATTATCTTTCTCTAAACTTCTCAGAAACTTCTGTTTTTGCTCATTTCCCTTTGTCATACCAAGAAATGCCTAAGGTTGGCACAAAAAAGATTCGAGCACCTTGGCTGCCACAAGTAGCAGCTATAATGGAAAAGGCCAAAAAAGACCAAGTCAAAACCAGTGTCAACTTTTTGATTTTACTTCCTAAACTTCAAGTTTAGCCATTTGTTTTCCTTAGCTACTGGTTGTTGGTTGTTGCAGCCCCCTCCCACTCCTCCAAACTATCCCTTTTCTCTTAGCCTAGGAGATTTCATCTCTTACTCATTTTTATCGAATTATAAACACACAGAACAAGGGTTCCTGCTGTGAGACTGACTTTCTTCCCTCTATTAAAGGAAACACTGTCACAGCAAGCAGGAGCCTTTTTCTGTCAGTGGAATCATACAGTTCCAAACCTACATCCACAATCATTGCCTGCCAAACCACTGAAACATTTGAGTATTTTTTTTTTCCTGGAGATCAAGGAAATTACCAAAACAGCCCCACTGTTTAAATCAAAACAGTAAAAACACAGATGGACCACACAGGTATACAGGCAGTTTTGCCACTCAAAACTTTCCTAATTCAAAGCTCTAGGTAAGGCCAGATAAGCTCAGGATGAAGTCCATGATCAACACTTTCATAATCCCTGCAAATCTTCCCCCCATTGCTGTTGCTCATATACTCCATGCTTGATAGCATGGTAACCTTGTGTGTGCTCAAAATGGAAATTCAAAACTCTGGATTTTGATTAATTGCTAATTGATTAGCAAGGTAGTGCCCTTCAGACACTTTTTTTTTCTGTGATTTATTCACTAAGAATCATTATACCACTAGCACACTGTGTATACACTACCAATATAATGTATAATATAAGCTTTACATCTGTAAGAAAAACAATTTCAGTAAGGCCGATCTGTCAATGGCTTCTTTCAACCTCTAATTCAAACTTCATACCTATTCATTGGTCCCTCTGACTTGAAGACAACACCTCTAGAATGAGTAATGAAGTAAGGAAAACAATCTTAGCAAAAGACAAAAGATTGAATGAGAAAGGCTCCATGTCCCAAAATGTTAAATCAGATCATTTAAAAGGTCATTAACAGAATTACCATCTGGGCAGATGACCAAAAAACGTCAGTGCTTCAGAGAACGTGCCCCTGACACCTTGAACAATTTTCACCATTCTGAGGCCCTCAAAAAAAAAAAAGACCATGGGACCAGTTTCATAGTGAAGTTAGTTCCAGGAATTTTGCAACAGCTAGTAAGTTTTGAAAATCTAGGCCCCAGTTCTGCACACCACAATTATGACAACTGATTTTCCTGTTTCATTATTCTAAGTAGGGTAAGAGGTATTCACTGCTTCACTCGGCCCCAGAAGACCATACATGTGGATTCACTTTTCTGATAAGCATCCTTAGCCTCTGTATTACAGAGATGTAATAAAACTGCAATTAGAAATGTACTTACTTCCCTGTCCTTGGTCATCTTCATCATTCGGAAATAAGTCATCCAAAGGCTCTTTGGTGGAATCTGTATCTTTGTCCTCCTGCAGAAAAAGCCCAAGCCCAAACAAATTGTTATACAATTAAATCTAAAGCATAAATTCAATTTAACCCTGCAACACTGAAGGAACTTTCCACATCCACAACCTTGGAATTGCCAAGAATAATGCTTCTCATAGAAATTAAATGAAGGTCTCATGTTCAAGTGTATTTACACCCTCTGTCCTAAAACAATATGGGACACCTTTAGGAGATCCAGGAATAGAAACCAGGTCTCCTAGATTTCAGGTTTTTTTCAGTTCAAATTAAGCTCCTAAAAACACACTTGCTACTTTTACCGAAACATTATGCCTACAGAAAAGTACCCAAAGAAGAGCAGTACTGAAAACACACTTGTCCGTTGTGCTTAGAAGTTATACATGCAGTTGTAGATAAGCAAACGAAAAGAATAAGGAGACTGATCTCCAGAAGGAGAATAAATTTGAATGAGTAACCAGAAATAGATTATCCTCCCATCCTGTTTCACATATGTGAAGCCTACAGTAAATATATATATATTATTCCCTTTTTTTGGCCCTCTGTCTGACACTTTTTTCTATAGAAGAAAAGGTAACTGCTACTGCTGGCTCTCAGACTCAATGGTTGCAAAGCAGGTGCAGATTGATGAGACTATAACCTTCCCACCTGATATCCATTTTTAGACAAGCTGATTCCAAGTTTACTTTGAGTATATATGCAATTGACAAAAGGGTAACAACAGGGACTGTCCGCGTGGTTAGCGAAATCACAAAGGTGCTTTGTTTACTTTGTTACTACGTGCCAATCAGATTTCAATTAGTGTTGTTATTTAGGCCTACAGATTATTGTTCAACTTTTAGGGCATAGAAGTCAGAGTATTCCCATCTCCTGTACCTTTTCTTCTCCTTAAAGTTTATTAAACAGACTTCATTGGCAGTGTTCAACCACAAATACCAACTCATGAATCAACTCTGAAAAATTCTGAATGCATCTGGTCAACTCTATGTTAAACAGCATTTAGTCAAGCAAAAATAAAACACATTTTCACCCATCATGTTGCTATTTGGTTATAACTGTAAGATATGACTAAAGTAGATCTGAACACACAAAATGAGATCTTTTCTACAGTACTGTCCAGGAGAAGAAATAAAAAGACAACATGAAGAGTAAATTACTTAGAAGTCCTTTCAACTGGTTAAGTCACTTCTGTAAATTAAAACTGTACCCATTTGCTCTCTGAATCTAAGAATATCTAACAAAATAGGCTAGGTAAGAATGACTGAAAATGTACATATGATCACAATGTTCAGCAGAAGGTGAAGAAAGGGGATCCTATACCATTGTAAATTTGCAAAAGATAGAAGCAATAGGGACTACACATAGCTTGCATTAGATATAAACAAAGTATTTTTCCTATAGTCAAAATAATTCAAGTCCCTTTTGTTCTTAGAATCCAAATACTTTGCACTGCTCAGTTTATAACTGCTTGTTTATAACTGCCGAGTGTATGGAAGGAAATTTTTGGTCAAGTTCAGTGTATAATTTTTAAGTTAGCATGACACTTTTTTTTTTTTTTTTTTTAATATCTACAGGCAGTAAAACATTTACTCTCTTACCCTAAGAATCCAAATTATGTGACACTAGTATAAAGCAAGCACTTTAATGACATGTTTATGTTAGCAACAAATAAAAAGCTTCCATCTGTCATTTTTCGCTAACGAGGCAGATTACAGCACATGCATAAATGTGAGCTGGTTTTTCCCCACGCAGCTACTTACTGATGGTGAAATATCATCATCGTATTTTTTTAATTGATTCATGAATTCTAGATGCTTCTTCTCTTCCTCCAGCTGAGCCACAGATTGCTCACTTTTCTGTAGCTTCTGTTGTGTATTGGCCAGTTCATCCCGTAGCCACTGATTTTCCTGACACAGTCGGCGAACCTGAGCACGCAGTTTTTGCTTCTCTGATTCCACTGCATTTAAGTGATTTGACAAGGCCATCATTACCTAAAAGGCAGAAAGTATCATATCACATGACATACCTCCTCCAGAATGCAGTCCTGTATTCAGCACTAAAGTGTTTTATTACTTAAAACCTGCATTTGTGAGATCTGGACACAGAATAACAATAATACTTCAGTGACTGTTATACTATCCAAAGGTGCACAAATTACACCAGCACACAGATGTAGATATATATGAGATATTTGAGCGTGCAGATATCCTACATGTCTGAATCATTTTTATCCTGTAACATGATAAAGCAGCCATAAAAACAATCTGCTTGGTTTTTTTTTTTTTTGCAAAGCAATGTCAAATGAAAAATGAGTTTAACACTGGTGAAAGCCAAACTCTACATACAGCACACTCTGCTTTCACTGTTTATGTTAATATACCACCAATACAAATAGAAAGCATACCTTCAAAGAATGGGTCAGGGGTGATAATAAAAACCTTATTTTAGGAGTGTCAAACTCATCTAAGTTATCAGTATTTCACCTCCTCAATTTCACATTTCTTTGAAGCAAAGTTACTTTAATGTGTTTTTGAACTGAGCATTTAACATGAAATAACTGCTGCTTTTAACTAAAATTTCAGGTTTCAAAAACAAATATTAATTCTTTAAAAACTACTTTTTCCTTCTAAAGGAAGATAAAACATGAGGAATAATTTCCTAACACCAGTTCGAATCTCCAGACTTCAGCACCGAGCTGTTTATGTATTCAAATTTAACATGCATTTTCTCATTCACCTTCTGCAGATGATACCACCCTTTACAACAATAGTTAATGGAAGTTAGCACTTAGACCCTTCTTTAGGGCATAAATGAAAGTTGCTCAAATTCCATACTAAATTCTTAACCTTCAAAATGTATTAAAATTCAATTTTGATTTGTTAAGGTATTCAATAAATATTGGAGACTTTTAAACCCCAAGAGCGCTGTGAGCTTGTATAAGGAATCTCAGAATCAAAGGAATAAGAACACAAATGTAAGATCACAGCAGAGCTGAAAGGTCGGTCTCCTAACCCTAAGGAAACTCATTTGTGCATGACCTCCACACCTGTATTTCAGAGCTAAAGTGCTGATGCTTGATTCTTGTTTGAGCAGCTCGTTACCTGACTAATGCCATGGAAAACTAATAGAAAATAGCAGCCCCTCACCAAAGCAGAGAGGAGCTTAGCTACAGGCTTCAGGGCTTTGAAACATAATGTATAATTAGTTCTGTAACACAGTAAGACAGCCTCTATTAATTACAGCAGCCTGCTTCCTTAACACGAAATAACAACTTCCATGACTCAGCATGCTGCTCATTTCAGTAAGACAAACGTACATCCATCAAAACCGATTATGTTTAAATTTCCAATCTGAAGTCAAACAATGGTCTTTCGTTATTTTTTTAATACACTAAAAATTCAGTCAAAATCTGAAATGCTTTATTTCTACTTGAGCTTTACCTGTGCTTCACTAAGGCCGAGCTCCAGCATCTCCAGTGACTTTCGAATCATGTTTGACTTTTCTTCAACCAGATTAGTTTCATCATCTTTCTTCAAACATTTCAGTGTTTCAAGTAAGCTCTGTAAAATTGAATTGTGCTCATTCTTCAATGCCTCCAGTCCATTAATCACTTGCTTAGTTTTGGCAATGATTTCATCTTGAGTGAGCTTCTCCAACTTCTCTTCCTTTAGATACACCATTGTGGACATGTTTTCATACATTCTGAAAAGGAAGAATACAATAGTTAACCAAAAGGTAAAAATAAAACAAGAGATTCTCTAAAAGTATGCACTGGTAGAGCTTTTCTTTCAGTCATTAAAACATAAGAATTTGAAACGCATATTCATAATGGTATTTTTGTGCAACTTCCACAAAGTTTTAAGTCCTGGCTTTGAACAATTCAAGGCTTCCAGCTTCTATTTCCAGAGTTAAGATTAACACCAATTCATGAGTCAACAATAAATGAAAAATCTATACATATACAACAACATGGCAGAAGAATTTCTAATGAGCACCAAATAGGATTCTGGTTTGTGCAGAAGCAAGTGTACGAGCTGATGTTGAAAGAATACACTGTAATCTGATAGACGCCACTATTTATGTATTACAAATGTATTATGTATTACAAATATCCACAAAACAACACTAGAAGAAAACAGCATCAACCCTCAAAAAAGGCTGAGAGATCAGTTAAGAAAAAAACTGAAGTCTTAGCTTTTCTAGTCCTTGGAAAAGGACAATCTGTTTTAAAATTAATAACTGCCCCCTAAGGCGTTGTTACACATCTAGGTGTTCATATAGAATCACATACAGACGTTTGACTGTCTGTGGATTCAGACAACTGTTTTAATGAAGCTGCAACAGCTGCTAAATGCTAAATGTATAGCACAAACTTTGTGAAAAACATTTCACTGTGCAATTTTATCAATAGCTCACATACTACATTAAGGCTATAGGACTTCTGGATGTTCATAAATGCCTCTACCAAATGCAAAGTGTAGAAAGTCCTGTATTTTTATGATTGCACATCCTGTTAATGAAGTGACAGCCAAGTATAACAACACCAAACTACAAACAGATGATGGAAATCAATTGACCCTATTTCATCACCACTAGAAAAATCTCCTATAATGAGAACAGAGAACGTAGGAGGATATGAATATCTTCAAGTGTACTGGGAAGAACACAAAGGAACAAGCATCCACACGTGCACCTCTTTGTGACAACAGCTGGAAGATGTGCTTACCCTACAGCATTACATGAATAGAACACTGCTCATTCTCTGCACACTCAAACCACCCTCTCTGTTATGACTTTCTTTCTCAGAGAAGAGCCACATACTGGTTTATTTTGTTATCAGCTATTGTCTGAAAACACAGATAATCTAGAAAGCAATTAATTCAGTTTTACCACCATTTAACTTCACATGAACTTCATATTCATAAAGAGATGCAATCTGGAGCATTTGTATCTGTATGAAACACCAAATTTAGCTGGCTAAGGAATAAACTCACCAAATCCTGATGAGCAGAACACTAATTACATATTTCCCGTTTATAACCAGAGAAATATTACCTGAAATGCATAAATACCATTTTTTAAAATGCATACTCTAAAAATCATGTATAAATGAATTATATATAATTTAATGAAAGCAAGATCTGTAAATATACAGATAATTACATATTCTAACAAGCACACTCGTATGAGGAACTGTTACGGGTTATGCTAACTGCAGCTCACAGATCAACTCTCATTATCATCCTGCATACTTACATGCCTTCAATTAACAATTTCTATCCTGAACACAAGAACAGAACCTTTGATCATATGGAAATAAAAAGGCAGAGGACATCTAGAAAACAAGCTTTCATTTTGTGTTAGAGAAGTTTGAGAAATCTCATAATTACACAGAGCTTCTCTACAACATTTTTTCCGTACTCCAAAATGAGTTTGTAATCATTTGCTTCTGTCTCATGTGAACAGGAGTAGCAATTCCTTCTGTGAGCTGCAGCGCTTTGGAGTCATTCTGTAACATCACAGATGGAAAGGAGGTGTGTGCTTGTGTGTGAGCTGCATATGGAGGTTTAAAGTAAGAATTTGTACATATAAACCACAGCATCAAAATGAAATGAACACTGATAAATTAACAGCCACTCACTGGTACTAAAAGAATAAACGAATAAATGAAGTAATACCATAAGCTGTATCAGGCCTTGTAAGACTCAACCCTTCGTGTGAAAACGAGTAAAGTAGCCCCTGGGAAGTATCTATCCAACAGAAGAAAACCAGCAAAGAGACATCTGGGTGCACAGTTGCATCTCAGGTGTGAACTGGCACCACGGGGAAAAAGTGGTTGACAGTGTTGTTCAGGGTTTTGTACGTTATACTTTGGAGAACAAATTAGGAAAGGGAGAGTAACAAACACTCAGTTTATCATGTTATTGGGTTCTCTGTAAGTGTTAGATTAGCCATTAAATATTTGATATCTCTTAAGAGTAATGTGGTGGTGCAGTGCCATAACTATGATATTTTAAAAGCCCATTGGTCAACAGAGCATATTTGGCCATATTTGCAAACATAGTGATACAATTTGCTTATACACACACACACACACACGCACATTAGAGCTGACTACTTAAGCTCTTGAACTCCTATTTAAGGATCTCATAAACACAAATAATTTTGTGCTCACCTGCTTCAAAGAAAAAACAGTGTCATCTTCCTATAGATTCCCTTCAAGAATAAAAAGGTTCACCTGATAGTGAAATTTTATTCAGATAGAAGAAATCTAAATAATTTCTGATTTCTTGAACGAAAGTACTCTTAGCTGTATGAGTCCTCCTTTCATGTGAAGCTTGTGAAGCTTGGGAGATAATCTGTAATCACATCTAGCGTCTGATCATTACTGCTTTAAAAGACAATTTGAAAAAAATTATCTGTGAAGTGCTGTGACAAATAAAATTCTCCCAATCCTCCTTCCTCCAGAGCAGCCAGGACCGCTGAGCACAGCAGAATGATGCGTCAGCACAAAAGAAAAATCATTTCCTTAACAGAAAAACTACAAGACCTGCTCAGGCCAGCCCTACTGCTCCTGCCATCTATATGTGCTGCCAACTCCTACAGACTTACTATCTGTCAGTTCGACCTTCTTCCTTCTCCAATATATACCTCCCAGTTCACTGGTACCAGTTACATTTGGATTTTGTGTTGAGGGACATGGTTTAGTGAGTACTATTGGTGATAGGTGGATGGTTGGACTGGATGATCTTGAAGGTCTTTCCCAACCTTAGTGATTCTGTTTTGAATAATAAAGAGTCTGTTCAAGGGCTTTTAACCTGATTTCACTCCCAGTTTCTCCTTAATTAAATGACAAGGCTCAGTATCTTAAATCTGCTGTGCGCATGTCTCCTTCTGCATTGCTTGCAGTCTCTAAGTCATTAATTCCCTGCTCCAACCAGGCACACGTCTCATTACATCACGGAAAGCACTGCTCTAACTGCTTTCCCTGCTCAGCTTAGTAACAGAGAGCAGCGCTTCTCAAACAAACCTAAAAAGACCACAGGCTTTCCAAGCACAGAAAGAAAAAATCACCAACAAATGAAAGCGATGCAGAACACAGCCTGCCAGGGCGTGCTGAAAAAATATCGCAGTTTAAACACGCTGCTGTTATTCTTTACAGTCAGACACGTCCAAGTCTAACAAAACAGATAAGCAAGAATTATTCTTTCAATCTAAGATGCTACTTTCTCTATTCAGCAATTTCTACCAGCACAAGTCCCACAACTTAAGAAACGTACAACATCCTCTCTTCTTGGCTTGCCCTCCTTTTAACCAAAATGGTCCTTTACGTTCAGGCCTTTTATTTCAATACTTGCCATCTCTGATGCCACAGAAAAAAACCAGCGTAGCTTTTTCCCTGTGTTTGACGTACACAGGGCTGCAATTGAATTCCCATGCTACATAAGACTCTCCTCATCATACTGTATTTGAATAATATGAACCTCCAGAGAATAGAAAATCTTGAGCTGCATCTGGAAACAGCGTACAGCGGGAGGTCACGCTGAAGGTACAGTTGCTGACCCACTTCTATAATCAGAATGCTGCTGCTCGTACTGCCTCGGGTTTCCAAATATACGATCTCAAAACGTCTTTGCTATTCAGCACACGTGCACAAAAGCTACCTTAAAAATAGCTTGGTGAGAACAATTAGCAGCACGTACTGGAGGCCACAAACCACCAACCAGAAGCAGATCGGCAGATGGAGCTGCACCTGACCAGCAACCAACTTTAAGCTGAGAGAAGTCCTTTAGAAAAGGATGTGTTTAAAAACAAAAACAATTCACACCTTGGACTCTTTTTTTTTCTTATTAAATTCCTGCTAGCAAGCATCTGAATTAAAGCAACATCAAAACACATTATTGTGCTTCTTCTGCCAGCTTCCAGCTGACCCCGATTGCAGAAGCTTGCCCTGCCGCTTGGTTTAAAACAAAGGTATGCAAGGTGAATACTATAAAAAGGACACATCTAATCCTTTAATGTCAAGGGCACACATTCTAAGAAAAGCTCAGAATAAAATTTGTAATTTGGCCTACGACATAACACTGCAAGACATTTTTCTGGGTAAGCAAACATACCACGCAAAGGCTTAGTGCTTGTGAGGATCAACCGAGGGGTCCAAACTCCTGGAAACCCCATTGGCTGCCGTTAAGCCGAAACAATGTTGAAGTGAAAAGCATTAAAACATAACTCCAAGTAAGCCTATAGCACGGCTGATGCTGACAGCTCTCTGACAAAGCTATGGGAATTCCTACTACAGAGCACATTTACTCAGATTTCTGTATCACAGCCCTACATTACAGCAACACTAGTTAAGCACGTGCATCTCGTTAGCAATGACATCTGCAGTTTTATCAATAATAAAACACTATTTTAAAATTTTTTTTTGTTTCTCATAAATAATAGACAAAAAAGAAAACCCTTCAGAGTAATTTCAGCCTTACTGTAGCAAGTAAGCTACTTCCATTGGAATTATGACTTTCCACTGAAATAGTTAATTCAGTAAAGCCTTATACAGCATAGAAGTATCTGGAGTGGCATAGAAGTGTGCAATAAATGAATAGTTCATTATTCCTCTTAAAGGTTGTTACGGCGTTAATCCTTTGATAGTACTCCACCAAACTAACACTTCAAGCTACCATTTCAGTATTGTGATATAGTTA